TGCATATCCAGTTTTCTCAACAGCATTAGTTGAAGAGACTGTCTTGCCCACAATGGTTGGTTGTGGCATCCTTGCAAACATTCAACTATCATGTATGAGGGTTTATTTCTAGGCTCTTTATTCTATACCAATGGTCTATGTGTCTGCTTTTATGCTAGTACCACAGTTTTTGATTACCATAGCTTTGTAATATATTTGAAATTAGAAAATGTGGTATCTCCAATTTTGTTCTTTTTAAAGGTTGTTTTGACTATTTGGGGTTCTTGAAATGCCACACAAATTATAAAATGGTATTTTTTTTATTTCTGCAAAAATTGCCATTGGGAATTATTAAGGATTTTGATGGGTAGTAATATTGTTAAAGTAGGCATTTTAAACAATATTAAGTCTTCCAGTTCATAAATACATATCATTTGTTTGTGTTTCATTTAATTTCTTTTGGCAATGTTTAGTCGTCAATTTGTAAGTCTTTCACTTTCTTGGCTAAGTTTATTTATAAGAAAAATTTTAAAAAGCTATTTGCTGTATTGTTTGTTGTCAGTGTATAGAGAAACTCAACAAGATTTTGTATCTTGGAACTTAGATGAACATATTTATTAGTTCTAACAGGGTTTTTTTTTTGTATGTTTGTGAGATTTTTAGGATTTTCTACATATAAGGTCATAAGATCATGTCGTCTGCAAACAGAGATAACTGTGCTTCTTCCTTTCTTTTTTGGACGTTTTATGTATTTTATTTATTTATTTTTTTCCTGATTGCTGTGGTTAGGAATTCCAGTGCTATGTTGAATGGAAGTGGTGACAGTAGGAATCCTTGTCTTTTTTCTGATTTTAGAGGAAAAACTTACTTTCACCATTGAGTATAATGCTAGCTATAGGATTTTTATATTCCGCCATTATGTTCTGGTAGTTTCCCTCTTCCTAGTTTTTTAAGGATTTTTATTATGAAAGGGCATTGAACTTTTTTAAATGCTTTTTATTCATTAATTGAAATGATTATGTGGTTTTGTCTTTCATTCTACCCATGTAGAATACCACATTAATTGATCATTGAATACTAAACCTTCTTGAACTCCTGAAATAAGTCCCACTTAGTTATGGTGTACAGTTCCTTTAATGTCTTGTTAAATTTGGTTTGTATTTTATTGAAGATTTTCATATCAATTTTATTTAAGATTATTGTCCTATAGTTTGCTTTTGTTTTCTTCTTATAATATTTTCATCTGTTTTTGGTATCAAGGTAAATCTGGCCTTATAAATAGAGTTAGAAAGTGTTCCCTCCAATGTTTTGGAAGAGCTGAGGAATGTTGGTATGAGTTCTTCTTTAAATATTTGATAGAATTTTATGTTGAGGCTTTTCTCTGTTGGGAAGTTTGTGATTACTGATTTAATCTCCTACTAGTTATAGGTCCTTTTATTTATTTAGGTTTTTAATTTTTTCATGATTCAGACCTGGTTGGTTGTATGTGTCTAGTTATCTATCCAATTTGTTTTAAACTCTTGACTACATTCTCTTTCCATCTGAATCTGAATTACTCCTTGGAACCTGACTCTGTGGGTTCCCAGTAGCTCTCCTTAGTAAAAATCTTTGCTGATGGCTTGGTAAGGTTCATCAAAGAGGGCATCCAGTCTTGTGAACAGCTGCCTTACTCACAGAGATACTATAATTTTTAATACAAGAAGCCCATTATTTTTATCAAAAGCTACCACAGAACAGCTACCCTCGAGGAAGAAGTGTTGCTTTTTAAATTTCTGCTGTCTTGTACTTCTATAAAGTTGAAAGCTTTAAACTTGATCCAAAGTACGTATGTTGGCTACCTAAAGTAAATATCTTAAATGCACGTTAAATTAGAGTAAAATTTTGAAGATTTTTCTTCTGTATCAAGTGAGGATCTATGTTTGTATTCTAAATCCCTGAGAAAAAATGATGAAAAGCAGATACACTTCTGTTCAAATACACTAACATTTGTTGAGTATCACCATACTTACATCATACTTATTGGAGATTCTTAAAAAGTAGCTTAACTACTAAACTAATTTCCTCATCTTGAACATATGTAAGTTTGGTTAGGAGGTGCCAGTGTTAGAGTTGCTATGGAATGATGATGACAGTTTGGAGAAAAAAGTATGGAAAACTGAGTACAAACTTACAATCATTAATAGAAAAATGAGCCAAGATCACTTGAATGCTCCAAAGCAAGGGTATGTAAGCAACACTGCATTAGGTTCCAATGCAGGCCCTGTAGTTTTGGAATATGTAGGGCAGGGTGATATTCTTTTATTAAATTTAACCGACTGACCTTGTTTTCTTTCCTTTGGTAATATAAAATAATTTAAGGATATAATAAAGCATTTGAAGTATCTAATCATTTAGTTCACCGTGTTTTCCATAATAACATTAGGAAGTCTTTTTTCTTTAAGTTTAGGGGGCTTTATATTTGGCAATATTTATCCAATCAATTCAATTTTTAAAAATCTTCATTTTTCTTTCAACACTAGAGTTAGCTTATAGCAAAAATATTACTATTTTAATAAATGTTTGGATATGCCTTAAACATTTAAAATTCTCAACTGAGTCACTGTTGCAGAGTTGAGTCATATTATCTGGGAATTGATGCTGTTTTTTATGCATAGCATTAACCTCCAAATTACAGTGAGGCAAAATATTTAAAGTCCACTATTGTATTCTTAGTATCTAAGATTTAGTTAACCTGTATCACTCTTTGCTAGATTAATGTTTAATAAATGCAATTCATAACAAATTCCACATGTTGTGTTCATAGTAGCATATTCTAATTAATGAAATGTTGATACTGCATTGAATTGGTCTTCTTGGTATTTTTTGCTTTTTTCTCTCTGCCTAACCTTTTAGCACTGGAGCATCCTGAGCCTCACCACTTTGGACCAATTTCCTTCATCGCCTACAGGTGTTCCCTCAGTGATGCAGTCTTACTTGAACTCATGGCTTTATCTATCACATTTATATAAGTGAATCACAAATTATACAGACCAGATATCTCTCCTAAACCCCATACTACTTTAGCAGACTGCCTATTTAATGTCTAGAATTAAATTTCAAACAGATGATTCATACTTAACATTTGCAAAACTGAACTGCTCGTTCTCTCATATCTCTTTGACTTGCAGCCCAGTGATGGCAACTCCATTGTGAAGATTGCTCAGGTGCAAAGCCTGAAGACTTGTCCTTTATTTTTTTCTTCCTCTTGTACCCCACATTTAACCTTTTAGTACATCGTGGTGTACTATCTTCTTCAAACTGTACCTGAATCTGACTGAATGATTATGCATACAAGTATAAAATACTAAAGGCTGAAAGAAGTCAAGAGAACAACAGCTCATCTTCACAGAGCTTGTAAGAGAGAAAGTCGGAATTCAAATCTATATTTTGTGACAAACCACAAATAATATACATTTTCTATAATACTGGTGCTTCTCCAAAGTATCTGTTATAATTGGCCTTTTATTTATATATTAAATGGTTCAGAAATATAACTTGACTTGTTGTATAACTGAATATGAATGGTATGAGTTATTTCAGTTACTTTTTGTAGGAATTTTCTTGGCTTATAGTGATTTTTTTAATAAATACTTGCAAACACAGTTGAATTGACTAGTCCTTATCTGCCCTAATATTTTGCTCTGACCATGTTTCCAATTGCAGAATATAAGCTGTATATAGGATGAAAGAAAAAGGGGATATTAATGAAATAAAATATTCAAGGTCTTTTATAAAGCTCTTTTTCAAATATTTTCTTGCTATATCATTGTGTATTTAGAACATATATTAGCTCTTACTATTTGTATATCAATACTTTTTTATTTGCTGGAGTTTTCATGATGCGTAATGTTGAACTTGATACTAATCATTGAACTTAGATTTATTTTATTTATTTTGTTTTTTTATTTAATCTTCATTGCATTTTTCCATTACCATTTAGTCCCCTTATACTCTCCTCCCCCCAGCAGTCACCACGCTGTTGTTCATGTCATGAGTCCTTTTTCTGTTTCCCTCCATCCCTCCACCCCCTAATCTCAAGGGCTTTGTATCAGAGGCATATTTTATAACTAAAATCCACTAGATTCTAAGTTCCTCTATAGGTTATAATGGCAAAAAACCCAAATTTCAGTGTTGATACAGTTGTTGAATCATCCCCTTTTTTTCCTGATGTACTGCTTGTATTTTAATGGAAGTTGTTTGTGTTTATGCATTATAATTCAATGTAGCACAAATAAAGTGCATTAAGTTGAATTTTGCTGAGGTTGATTGATATTCTTGAAAGTAGCCAAGATTAAGCTTTTGGGAGATGTTCATTATGTCTGTTAATGTGACATATTTGGAAAGCTGATCACTGTTTTTCTTCTTTTTATATACATGTAGAATATTTATCTGTAGCAGATTTTAGGTAAAGAGCATTCAGAACCATTAATTTATCTGTTTTTCCCCTTTTCTAAATTTGCCTTATATTTTTTTGTTTTGTTATTCTATTAATTTGTGTTATTTTATTCCAAGCATGAAATTTTATGGATGTTTAATCCATAAAAGCAATTTCATATCTCAAATTCTATATATCTGTTCATTTACTTACCTACCTACCTTTGCTCAGATAAAAACTATTTAACACTGACTCACTTTCAAAATGTTCTTATAGGCTTTGAAAATATCTCTTAAAGCAATGAGATGACATGTGAGACACTGAACACAAAAACGGTGTCTAGTGATTACTCCTTATGATGAGTTAGAGATGTGTGGTAACTGCAGCTGTAATGTCATATATTTAGAAAGAAAATTTAATTTGCTACTTTTTAAAAAATCGATGTTGGCAAACAAACATCAAATAAAAATTCAAAAAGGAGATATTTTATTTCTGGAATATGTGTTAGTTCTGTTACCATTTGCACTGATGGACATCTGTGGATCTTTAAACTGTGTAATAAACTCTGATCCACTGACTATATATCACTGTCTTTTCTGTTCTATAGTGTATGCCGATTAAAGGCCTCGGATTTGTGCTTGGAGCCTATCAGTGCATTTGCAAAGCAGGATTCTATCATCCTCGAGTCTTCTCGGTGAACAAGTTTCAGAGTAAGTGCTCTCTGCTTTTGTGCATGTACCCGAATACGCATAATGTCTGCCGTTACTGATTATTCATATTTTCTTCTAACCTTATTAGAGTTTTATGGTTAAATTCCCACTGGGTTGGCATTCTTTCTTCACCGAAGGGGTTTTTACTTTGGTTTGCCATCCACAATTCTCTGGAGTACCACAAAAATGCAGTAGGGCAAACGTAAGTTTACAATTGTGAGTCTGTGGAACAGTTAATAAAGCAATTTTAATAATCATAACCTGAATGTCTTCTTCCATAAAAACAACTTTACACCTACTTTTACTCACCCTTGTATGTTTATTGTTGGCATTTTAGTTTTCAGTACATATTCAAGTTCTGAAAAATTCTGTAGTTAATCGGTAAGACCAACTGGGGTTCTGTATTGAAAGCTGTTGCTGCAGAAAGTTTCTAAAACTAATTTTGCTAGTTTGTTTGTTTTATTTATCAATTTTCTTATATATTAGTGCTCTATGCTACATAAAGAATTACCACAGGATGAACACTTAAAACAGCACAAATTTATTATCGCAGTTTTCATCGATTAACCTTCTAGTAAAGCATTAGCCTGATCCTGTGCACAGGGTCTCACCAGGCCAACATCATGGTGTCACCTGGAGTGTGATGTGATCTGAGGGATCTTCTTCCAAGCTCATTCAGTTATTGGCAAAAATTAATTCCTTGCAACTGTGTGCCTCAAGTCCCTGTTTTCTTACTAGATGTCAGCTTGGGCTTATTCTCAGCTCCTGAAAGTCTCTTTAAGCCCAAGCTATGTGATTCTCACAACACTGCAGCTTGTTTCTTCAAGGCTAGCAAAAGAATCTCACCAGTCTGCTCAGATGAAGTCTTACATAACAATGTAATCATGGGGTGACTATCCTATCATATGTACATTCAAGAGGAGGTGATGTACAGGGTGTATATCCCAGAATCAAAATGTGATCATCTGGGTATTTTATTCCTGCTCCAGAAAATGTCAGTGTTACAGTTTGCTTCTAGTGAAGCTATCCGATATAAATAACTCCTTATATCAGATAGAAGGAGTGGTAAAGGGGATGGTTTCATGGGAAGTTAAGGTTTAGGTTTGCTAAAAATGAGGTACAGGTATCTTTTAGATAGTGATCCATAAGTCTTTGCCGGCCTTATTTTTGTCTGTATAGCAATTTGCATCTCTACTAGGTATAGTTTTAAAGAGTATGTTGAGATTGAGACCTGAGTGTCTTATTTTGGTATATATTTATAGGGGTTTTTTTTCTCTCTTAAAAAACACTACTTCTGGCCTTGAGATTGCTTACATTTAACTTTTAGATTCTGGAGGTGAGTGACTTTTTCTTTTCTTAGGCATATAGCTAACAGAGTTCAGCTCATGTTCTGTCTGATGATTGTTGTACGTATGATTTTAAGATGGCTTTCAAGATCCTGCTCCCATACACACTGTGCAATCCCTCCCTGTAAGTGTAGGTAGGACCTGTGAATGCAATGGGCAGTCAGCCTCTTGTTTAGGACATATCATGTAGCAAAGCTGATGATATAGTTTCTCTTGTGATTACATTGTATTAAGTAACACTCCTTCCCATAGTAGCAGAGTACAGAGGGATTCCAATGCTGGCTTTGAAGAAGTAAACTATCTTGTGGTGAGAAGGCCATATGCTGGGACCTGAGCATGGCCATTAAGAGCTAAGAGCTAAAGGCAGCCAGCAAGAAAATAGGGACCTAAGTTCTGCAACTATAGGAACTGTATTCTTCCAACCTGGATAGTTGGAAAAGGACCCTGAGCTACAGCTTGGCCAAAACCTCAATTTTTAGTCTAGAGAGACCCTGAGCAGAGAACCCAGTTTCACTGTGTCCAGACATCTGATCAACAGGAATTGGGAAATAATAAATAGGCATTTACTTGTTATTAAAGTAATAAATTACTAACTCTCAAGTAATTTATTATACAGCAATAGAAAAGCAGTACAATAGCAATGACGATAACATGCTTTTAGGTTGGATATGCTTTTTCCTTGTGTGTGTGTGTGTGTGTGTGTGTGTGTGTGTGTGTGTGTGTATAGCAAGCCATGGCAATACCAGAGCTGCTTTGGCATTTTTCACATTTATGGTCCAGACATAACATATGATTCAACACTGAAGGACTAGGGAAATAGGTTTTAGCTTATGTTCTGTGAAGGTATTTTGTATCTGGTTTACCCACATTTGTTCTCAGCTCCCACTGTGTGACTGAAATAAAACATCTAAATATTGTAGAACCAGAGAATGACTATACCATTTGCTTACAACACCACCAGGAGAAACTAGTTACCCTTTAACAATTTATCTTTATTTAATTTGCACACTCCCACTTTCTTCCTTATTTTAAAGCCAGTGTTTTTCACTGGACGTCCTCTCTCTAAGAAAAGGCTGCTTGTCTGCATAAGTCTAACTCTCATGCTGTACACATTGCAGCCATGGAAAAGAAACCACAATTTTTAGAAGGAGGATCTTTATTTGGGCATAGATGTGATTCAGCTTTGACCTCAGCACATACAGGACTGACTGACCTTCCTCAATGACAGAGCAGAAAGCTAGCTACAGGTTATAATTTGAAGTCAGGAAAGCTCTCTTTGCCCAAAATATCTTCGCTAATGGTCTTCTCAGTTTTCATGAAAATCCAGCTTAACTCATTCCTTGTCCTAATGAAAGAACATAAAAATCTGACCAGAATTATGAGTTATAGCTCACTAGCATCAGCTATCAAGGGCTATTTTAATATTACTTATATTTTTTGTTTATTTTACAATATTTATTCTGCGTTTTAATATACTAAGCCTCTTAATTATAATATATGGGAAGTTCATATGGGCAGGTGTTTTCACTGTTCTTGAGGAGGTACCTCTGAAGTAAGGAATAGCCAAAAGTAAAGGAAGCATTGAAGACCCTCAAAATGAGATAACACATGTAAAACTTCTACTAAGTATCCATAGATGTAGTTAAATAAGCAAAAAAACAAAATACCACATACACATACATAAACAAAAATCAGTGATGTATGTAAACAGATAACTTTTAAGTACCATTGGTCAATAGAACTTTGCCAAACATATTTTCTTATATTGAAGTAACAAATTTTTAGAACCAGGGCTTTTGGAGAACGAATTCTGCATGGATCAGAAGGAAGATGGGACAGCAAGAGTCTGTAACAAGCAGCACTGCACTGACATGCACAACAGGAGGAATGCTGGGGAATGTAAAGCAACCGGGGAAATTAGTGCCTGATAGGGAAAATAGGACATAGAAAGCAGAAAAGATGTTCCTCAAGGATCAAATGTACTTAATTTGCAATTTTAAGTCTAGAAAAAGACCTGAAATTCTCACATCTATTAAAGCCCTGTATCCCATTTATTCAGAGAAGCTCAGATATGGTGCTGATCTGTTAGAGAAAATGTAAATGCGATTGTTAAAAATCCTGTTAAAATATGAGGTGATTTAAATTCTTTACTTAGATCTAGGCCCACAGTAAACAAATAGCTTGTAAAGACCAACAAGGATTTAAAACCACATGATTTAAAATGGTGAGGACAGCCCAGAGACTGTATTCCTGGCATCCCTCTTGAAATTGGCCATCATATGGGAGCTAATAGGATCTGGCATCTGGACAGTAGCAGGATTTCAGAGTAACCAGGTGCTGAGGTATGACTGTCTTTTCAAATGCAGGTTGTTCACCTCCAGGTTGATGAAATACAAGCTTATGGCAAGTTCGTCTTCCTTAAATTCATCTATTTTAGTATGAATTTTGTCTTCAGTGAGATTTATTTGCTTTTAATGGTGATACATTATTAGCCTTTCAGGCATACCTCTTGTCTTTTGGATTGACTTTGGCTCATGTACACTTCCAGATAGACCTGATTTACAAATGTTCCATACCTAAAACTGACAATTCCTGCTTTGCCAACTCTGGTGCTATTGATCATGGGGGGGGGGGGGAGACAAAAAATGGTGGACTTTAGAACTGTGTGGTCTTTGAATAAAAAGAAGAAAAGCAGGTATGAAATAAGGATGCTGAGCTCTATGCCAACTGTAGCAAGGCTAACCTATTTCTGCAATGTGTGTCTTTTTGTTGTGCTTGGTTCTCACACTCCCTATCTCTCTTCCATGATGTGGCCAGAAAGCTTGAGGTATTTGACTTTCAGAAGAAAACTGCTTGAACATCACAGTCTCATAATTGGCATAGTCCCTTTTGCTATTGGTCTTATGCTTTGTGATCTGGTTCACTTTTACTATATTGCCAAAACCTAGTCCTCATCAGTTTTACTCTAACTGTAGTAGCAATATTCTTTTTTTTTTTAATAAATTTATTTATTTTTTTTGAATTGTTTATGCTGTTACATTTGTTCTATTCCCCCCTTCATTCCCCTCCACCCTGCCCCCCCAACCCCCCCATTACCCCCCCTTTAGCTTATGTCCATGTGTCTCAAGTCCTTTAGGTTCTATATTTCCCATACTATTCTTGCCCCCCCCATCTATTTTCTATCTACTGTCTATGCTACTTGTTTTCTGTACCTTCTTCCCCCGTCTCCTCCTCCCACTCCCCTGTTGCTAACCCTCCTTGAGATCTTCATTTCTATGTTTCCACTCCTGATCTAGCTGTCCTTTTAGTTTGCTTTCGTTTTAGGTGTGGTTGTTAATAACTGTGAGCTTGTTGTCCTTTCACTGTTCATGTTTCTTTAACTTCTTTTTCTTAGATAAGTCCCTTTAACATTTCATATAATAAGGGCTTGGTGATGATGAACTCCTTGAATTTGGTCTTATCTGAGAAGCACCTTATCTGTCCTTCCATTCTAAATGAAAGTTTTGCTGGGTAGAGCAATCTTGGTTGTAGGTCTTTAGATTTCATGACTTGGAATATTTCTTTCCAGCCCCTTCTTGCCTGTAAGGTCTCTTTTGAGAAATCTGCTGACAGCCTGATGGGGACTCCTTTGTAGGTGATTGTCCCCTTAGCTCT